GGTATCATCTTCATTTCAAGAACCATTTCTAGCCCATTAGAATAAGTGAAGTGTATTCAAAGTCACCACTATCAGGGTATGCTTCCTCTCTGTTGGACTGGCAAACAGAACTGCTACTGTTGCGTTTTGCATTCCATCTCAGCTGTGCAAACACCTGTTAGTAAGAAAAACATCATGCCATCTTTATCAGATCTACCCAGATAAACTCCTCTAGGATAAATAGTTTGGTAGTGAAATAACAAACTGTATCAATTCATAAGAATCTCTGTATAAAGCACTCCTGCTTAGTTCTGAAAGATGATTTTGCCTGGATTATCAGATATCCAGAAATAACTATTGTACTATAAAGAATGCCAATCCAAACTGAGGGAATGGGAACAACTGTCATAAAAAGAGTTGAATTACAATGATTTATATGGATTATGGATTATAAGGCTGTTTCAATAAGTTTTGTCACAAAGGAACAAACTGTCCCAAAGAAAGCATCTCTTCTAAGTATAAACATCAAATCAAGCTACAGTACCCAATTTTCCCATAAATTAAAGGATAATGTCCATATGCCTGTTATAAGTGGTAACTGGTATACTTTTAAAGATTCCTTGGATTGGAAACATTGATCTGACTTTTCATTTGATGGGCAGTTAAATCTACAACCATGAGAATTGAAGCAAAAGTTATTTCAAATATTGGTTAAAAATTATAATTCCATGATTGTGGGTTCCACAGTTTAGCTGAATAAAAATTGATCATATTATGAACAAATAAGACTAAAAGCAATAAGTCAATGATTAAATTTCTGGATTTGATGGCACATTAACAACAGAAACCAGGGCCAGCACTGCCTGTCACACTGGCGTCCTATATGGGAACTAGTTCAAGTCCTGGCTGCTCCACTTCTGATCCAGTTCCTTGCTAATGTACCTGGGAAAACAGCAAGAGATGACCCAAGTGCTTGGGCCCCTGCACCCATGTAAAAGACCCAGAAGCTCCTACCTCCTGGATTCGCTCTGACTCAGCCCTGGTCTTTTGGGGAGTGAACCAGCAGATGAAGATCTTTCTGTCCCCCACCTCTAACTCTGTCTTTCAAATAAATAAAATAAATCTAAAAAAAAGAAAATGATGCACAGCAGGAATGGACACAGTAGTTTCAGGAAGACAGACAAACATTAAATAGAAGAAATATGTTTCAATAGTAACATTTCTTTTTTTTTTTTTTTTAAGATTTATTTATTTATTTGAAAGAGTTACACAGAGAGGAGAGGCAGAGAGAGAGAGAGAGAGAGAGAGAGAGAGGTCTTCCATCCGATGGTTCACTCCCCAGTTGGCCACAATGGCCAGAGCTGTGCCGATCCGAAGCCAGAAGCTCGGAGCTTCTTCTGGGTCTCCCACGCAGGTGCAGGGGCCCAAGGACTTGGGCCATCTTCTACTGCTTTCCCAGGCCATAGCAGAGAGCTGGATCAGAAGTGGAGCAGCCGGGTTTCGAACCGGGGTCCATATGGGATGCTGGAGCTTCAGGCCAGGGTGTTAATCCTCTGCGACACAGCACCGCCCCCCCCTTTTTTTAAATTTATTTATTTATTTGAAAGTCAGCGTTACACAGAGAGAGGAGAGGCAGAGAGAGAGAGAGAGAGAGAGAGAGGACAACAGTAACATTTCTTAACACAGGGGTCTAACAGGTTTAGTATCAAGTTCTAGGGGAGAAATAACTCACCAGCACAATCAGCAAAGGAACTAACCAAAAGATACATTCTTTGTTATTTGCTGACATGCATCTATAATTCTCATTTTGAAGCAGATTTTTATTTTTCTGGTGCCATCAAGTGGCAACATTTATGAAGTGTCCTGACATCAAATGCAGATGGCTTTCAGACAGAAAGATGACACACTGTTGTGTCTCCCCTATGTCAATGAGACTCAAGTGATGTCTCAGCACACAAATATCCGAAAGGAAAAGGGGCAGATACCAGAGTAGATCTTCAGCAGTTCAGCTCCATTTTAAACTCCTAACCGAAGATGACAGATAAGACACAAAACAAAAATAAGTGAACCTCTAAAATGACAATGTTTCACCAGCAAATAAACCAAAAAATCTAGAATATGGTACCATCTGAAAACAAAATTAGATCAAAATAATCTATCAGTCAACCCATGACTTAAGAATGAGTTTCTCAATTAGAAATCTTAAGTGATAGCTAAAATTATGACAACTTTAATGGAAAATGAATCATACCATCAACTATTTGGAACTGCATGTTTTAACAGTTTCTAAATGGTTATATCAGCAACTTCACCAAGATACTAATTACTAACCAAACAAACAAATAACAAAATTCCAATTCCTTTTGACTGCTACACACTCAAAGTATAAATAGCTTTTTAATCCTCAGGTCCACCAAAATGATTAGCAACTGTGAAATACAAATTTCCAGTTAAGCATAGCAAACTGAACATATCTACTAAGCAATGGTCCCTTCTGAAACACCATTAACGTGGAAGTAAAAAGAATTTACTTAAGGCAAAAACCACATAAAATACAGAGATTGAGAAACAAGATCAGTATTTCAGAAGCTAGAATGTAGATGGATAAGAGATTATTGACTTGAGAAACTCAAGAAAATTGCCTGACTCAGATAACACAGTAAAACTCCCTGGAAATTCACAGACTGGTAGTACCAGGTAGCTGTGGAGGTGAGAGTGAACGCTAAAAACCACAGAATCGGTCAAAATTCTAGTCAAGGAGCAGTTAGAATCCCCGACAAATTCCCTATTCCTCGCTATACAGCTAGGCATACATCTTCATACTACATTATAAAGCTGCCAGGTTTAAAGAGCAAACCAGAGAGACTCTTGTACTACAGGATACCAGCATGAACTCAATCAGCCAGGCACCGTCTGTGCTGTGGACACGCCCAGTATAAAGACCTTTCCAAGACCCACAACCATCTCTACCCTGACCAAGGAAACAGCACTCATGGGCAAGGAAGCATCAACTGTCCCCTAACAAGAGGTGAGCTTTCCTTCTTAGAGCCTTTAAAGGAAGAGTGAGTAACGACCCCACTGTTTGTCTCTGCATATAGATAATATTCCATATGGAAATGAAAGTGAGAATATAATGTGCCTCCTTAATTAATAGTCAAGTCTGTTGGCTATTACTAGCTGTTCTTCAATTTTCAGTGAGGCATACTCCAATTTTCAATGTGACTGACAAACACACATAAATCTATATTGTTTAGGGGACGGTGCTATGGTCAGCAGGTTAAGCCACTGCCTGCAATACCAATATCCCATGTCAGATTGCCGGTTCAAGTCCTGGCTGCTCTGCTTCCAATCCAGTTCCCTGCTAATGCACAGGACAGCCCAAGTGCTTGTGCCCCTGACACTCATGTGGTAGACCCAGATGGAGTTCCTGCCTCCTGGTTTCAGCTTGGCCTAGCCCTGGCTATTGCACCATTTGGGGAATGAACCAGCAGATGGAAGATCTCTCCTTTAAAACTTCTCTCTCAAGCTCTGCCTTTCAAATAAATAAATCTTTTTAAAAATAAATCTATATTGTTCAAGCCTGATTTAATGCATGTACTCAACCCATAGGAAAAGTATAAAACATGTAACGAAAATGAGACTTGCAGAACAGCCAGCACAGGCAAGTTACTGGTTGTTTCTGGGTTGACAGTCTCAAGTTTGACTAGCTGAATAAATTTCAACTTTGATTTTTCAATCATACTCTGATTTTTTAAATTTACTCCTATCACATATAAGAGTACTGCAGGAAAAAGTGGTAATATAGGAGAGGCTATGGTAATCTGAAGGGTACCAACAACTCAAAGACCACAGAACAACAGTAAGAAAGACGACTTTCTGGAAAGACAACCACTGCAAGAATGTCACATTAACTTGTCATTGCTGTGTGTAAAAACTAACGTAACTTACTGAAGAATGCTTCATCCCACTTTTTTGTTTATTTTGTTTATTTTTGTTTATTTACTTACTTGAAAGGCAGAGTGAAAGGGAGAAAAAGAGAGATCTGCCACTCCCCACATACCCACAAGAGCTAGGGCTGGGCCAAGCTTTAGACTGGAGCCAAGAACTCAATCCGGGTCTCCCATGTGAGTAGGCAAGACCCAGCTAGTTGAGCCACCACTTGCTGCCCTCCAGGGTGCACTTTAGTAGGATCAGGGAAACACAGGCACTCCAATGTGAAATGCACACATCCCATATGGTAGCTTAAGCATTGCACCCAACACTGGCCCCTACACCCTGCTTCTTAAGGGAAAAGGCAAAGGACTAGAACAAAAGCTGATGCTTTAAAAAAAAATTCAATTCTACCTATAGACATTCAATTACATTCAACTCCACATATCCCATGTCATACCCATTACTTAGATGAGAATATGGTGCAACTAACTAAGAGGGTAGAGTAGCAGGCAAATCTAAGAATCTTTTAGATTCTTAGTTCAAAAGCACATTTCATTTTGTCTCTTTGGGCCATTAAGAGTGAATGCACTAAGGGTAGGAGCATGAGTGTGGGCATAGGTGGAAGGCAGGGTAGGATGGGAAGTGTCACTCTACTCCTAAATCAGTATATGTGGAAAATGAAACCTCTTTACATTAAGAAAGATTTTTTTAATCAACTACTTTTAAAAAAAGAGTGAATGTGCTAGAGAATCTGTGAATACCTGAGGGAGGTGTCAGGTGGTCAACACTTTGATCAAGCAAAAAAAAATATTCACACAAGAGACCGGGTGACTTGCTGATTTTTAAAGGAATCTTGTTTTTGTAGCTTAACTGATGCAAGTATAACGTTAAATACCTCTGGGAAATGTCTGACATCTCATGTAACCAAAGTATACAGGCAAATATCAAATTAAGCTTCATCAATTTCTCATTTTTAGTCTTACTTCTATATGGGATTATACAGAAGATACAGTTGTATGTATATATTTTCTTCCCCAGGGATCAACATAAGAATGTGCCAACACAGATTAATACAGACAAAATTGTACCTTGAACGCCTTCTAGGAGCAAGTCAACTCCTCTCCGATAAAAATCAGAAGCAGCTTCATAGTCGTCTTCTTCTTCCTTTTTCAAAGCCAGCTTTATTAATTCTCCTGCTTTCTCCAAATAATCTCTCTTGCCAAGCCTGGGTTTTAAACTGCCAGGAAAGCGGCTACGACTTTCCCTTTCTTCTTCTGTTTTATTCTGTTCGCTGTCAGAGGCAACAGCCCCTAGTGCTGAAGAATCCGAAGAAAGATTGAGACCAGAAGTTCTAATGGGAGAATTTTGATTGGAAGCCATTCCATCATCTAACTCGGCAAGAGAATCCACATCAACAGTAAGAGATACCAGATCGCTGTCACTGGAGAAGCCTAAAAATATGATCACAACAGCAAACAGATATTAAATTGAGGACCAGCCAAAAGAATGCAAATCATGCTAACTGTTCATTTTTTCATACTATCCAAGTCAATTTGGAAGGCTGTAATTTAGTGATGGAAGTCAGTGTCCAGCAATTTGTTTCAGTTTAGTTCACTCACTTTTGCACTGTTTCTTAATAGCTCTGGAAGACAATCTCCTTGCCTTAATCATCTAACTGAAACTGAAGGCAAGTTTTTATCCTCCCTTACTGCCAAGAAGAGCCTTTACCACAAGATCTTGTAAACAGTTTGCAGAAAACTATTGTATATACACACAACTGCTTAAAAAAGAAAAAACAGCATTATGATAAAGGAAAAAGAGTAAGTTTTGGATTAAGATCAAAACCAGCATTAAGCCGGCGCTGAGGCTCACTAGGCTAATCCTCTGCCTTGCGGCGCCAGCACAACGGGTTCTAGTCCCAGTTGCCCTTCTTCCAGGCCAGCTCTCTGCTGTGGCCAGGGAGTGCAGTGGAGGATGGCCCAAGTGCTTGGGCCCTGCACCCCATGGGAGACCAGGAAAAGCACCTGGCTCCTGCCTTCGGATCAGTGTGGTGCGCTGGCCGTGGCGGCCATTGGAGGGTGAACCAACGGCAAAGGAAGACCTTTCTCTCTGTCTCTCTCTCTCACTGTCCACTCTGCCTGTCAAAAAAATAAATAAAAAAAGAGTTTACAAAAAAAAAAAAAAAAAAAACAGCATGAATCCCAGATCTTAAAACCTACTACGTGGGCCGGCGCTGTGGCTCACTTGGCTAATCCTCCGCTTGCAGCGCCAGCACCCAGGGTTCTAGTCCTGGTTGGGGCACCGGATTCTGTCCCGGTTGCCCCTCTTCCATTCCAGCTCTCTGCTGTGGCCCGGGAAGGCAGTGGAGGTTGGCACCTGCAGGGGAGACTGGGAGGAAGCACCAGGCTCCTGACTTCGGATCAGTGCAGCGCCAGCCGTAGCGGCCATTAGGGGAGTGAACCAAAGGAAGAAAGACCTTTCTGTCTCTCTCTCACAGTCTATAACTCTACCTGTCAAATAAAAACAAAACAAAAAAAACCTACGACGTGATCAACAGCAAATCACTTGGTAATACTACTAATTATGCAAAGCTTTAAAATCTGTTTTGAATTTGTTCAAGAGGTACACAGAGATGGAGAGACAGACAGCTCTCACTTACTCGTTCATTCCCCACAAATGCCTGCAATTGCCACACTGGGCTGGGCCAGAGCTAGGAGCTGGGAACTCATTCCAGGTCTCCCTTATGGGTGGCATCAATACAATTACTTGAGCCAGCACTACTGCCTCCCAGGATCTGCATGGTAGCAAGCTGGAATCAGAAGCTGGAACCAGAAATCAAACCCAGGTACTCTGTGATGTGCATGTCCTAATGGTAGGTCAAATATCTACCCCATTATATAAGTCTTTAAATAAGGAACGGAGTCAATGATAAAGTATAAAAGATTCTCATAACACTCTAGGGGCCGGCACTGTGGTGTAGCAAGTGAAGCCTCTGCCTGCAGTGCTGGCATCCAATATGGGCACCGGTTCGAGTCACAGCTGCTTCACTTCTGATCTAGCTCTCTGCTATGGCCTGGGAAAGCAGTAGAAGATGGCCCAAGTCCTTGGGCCCCTGCACCCATGTGGGAGACTTGGAAGAAGCTCCTGGCTCCTGGCTTCCGATCGGTGCAGCTCAACTTGGGGAGTGAACCATCGGATGGAAGACCTCTCTCTCTCTCTCTCTCTCTCTCTCTCTCTCTGCCTCTCCTTCTCTCTCTGTGTAATTCTGACTTTCAAATAAATTAAATCTTTAAAAAAATTATACATCTGTATAATGATGAAATAACACATCCTCAAAGTAGTGCTTTTAGGTATTAACATCTGGAAACTGTATGCTATTTTTTTAAAAAAGACTGACTTTTTAAAAAATTTATTTACTTATTTGAAAAGTGAAGGGAGTTACAGAGTCAGAGGCAGAGAGAGGAAGAGAGAGGTCTTCCATCGTTTGTTCACTCCCCAAATGGCCACAATGACCAGAGGTGGGCCAATCCTGAAATATCTTCCAAGTCTCCCATGTGAGTACAAGGGCCCAAGGACTTCGGCCATCTTCTACTGCTTTCCTAGGCCATAGCAGTGAGCTGAATTGGAAGTCGAGCAGCCGGGACTTGAATCAGTGCCCATCTGGGATACTAACAAAGAAGGTGATGGCTTTACTCGCTACACCACAGTACCGGCCCCTAAAGACTGAATTTTTAAGAAATTTTTGTTTTAGGCTCTTCCACTAGCTTTCAGAGAGAACTTTGGCCTACCTTTACATCTTAATTCTGTTTTGTTTTTTTTTTTAAGATATATTTTATTTATTTGAAAGAGTTACACAGAGAGAGGCAGAGAGAGAGAGAGAGAGAGGTCTTTCATCTGCTGGTTCACTCCCCAGTTGGCTGCAACAGCTGGAGCTGCACCTATCTGAAGCCAGGAGCCTGGAGCTTCTTCCTGGTCTCCCACACGGGTGCAGGCGCCCAGCACTTGAGCCATCTTCTAGTGCTTTCCCAGGCAATAGCAGAGAGCTGGATCAAAAGTGGAGCAGCCGGGATTCGAACCTATGCCACACATAGGGCAACGTAACCCTATGTGAGATGCCAGCACAGCAGATGGCAGATTTACCGGCTATGCCACAGTGCTGGCCCCTCATCTTAGTTTTCACACAGAAAAACAAATCAGTAATAGGCATTCTGGAACTATGTAGCACGAAAAATGACTTCTCCCACTTCATACAACTGATTCCATGGCACCTGGGCCTGACCCACCACACCAGATATCAACCTTGCTTCTCTCAGGATCTCCCTTTACAATCTCAAAAAGACTAAAGACTCAAAAAAGCTTCTGCTTACATAGACTCTATCTGTAAATGTTTACCAATACTACATTGATACCTTTTTTCTAAGTATCAATACTAGGACATTTTTTAAATGAAGCATTACAGCCACTGAGGGGCCAGCACTGTGGGGTAGCAGGTAAAGCTGCCACCTGCAGTACTGGCATACCATATGGGTGTCAATGTGAATCCCAGCTGCTCCACTTATGATCCAGCTCTCTGCTATGGCCTGAGAAAGCAGTAGAGGATGGCCCAAGTCCTTGGGCCCCTGCACCCACGTGGGAGACCGGGAAAAAGCTCCTGGCTTTATATCAGCTGAGCTCTAGCCATTGCGGCTATTTGGTTATGAACCAGCGTATGGAAGACCGCTATCCACACCCCTCTCTCTCCTCTCTGTCCACCTTTCAAATAAATAATCTTTTTAAAAAAATTAAAAATTTTAAAAATAAAGCCATTAACATCATTTTAACAAAAAATAACTAAAGTTCCCAAAGTACAAAAATATTGACTTAGAAAAGCGGCACTGCTTCACATTTTTACAAATCTGTTAATACCTGGCTTGACAGAAAATGTCTACACTCTTACATCTGATTCTGCATACAGTCTGTTCACATTACATTGTTTTGGTTGAAAAGACATGAAGAACATATGACATGATATGTAACTAAAAAAGGAACAAATATTCCAGTATTTTTTTTTTTCAGATAATTGTGGGTGCTGCTCTTTGATACTATACCAAAACCTTCTAAGAGGTGGTTTCTTAAAGTTTGGCTATAATATGGAATCAGAAATCCTATCAAAGTAAATCTGACTTCTGCTACATTCAAATCTATTGGTCTGTTTGCACACTGAAGGCATTCTTGATCCACGCATGAGTTTGTAGCATTACACATTGGCCATTCTGAAAATACTGGTTGTCTGAGCTGCGCAGGTCTTCCAAATACTGACACAACATTTTATTACTAAAATATCTCCCAAAAATCATGTGTGTTAATATCACCGCCAATTTCATCAGAAAATTACTTAAGTGTTGGGAAACTGTCACACTCAAAGTAGCGACAGAAGTTATCTAAAATTCCCAATCTGGAACTGAAAGCTTTGCTTCATTATTGGCAACAAATAGTATCAGTTGTTTTCCTTGAAGTGTCAGCTCACTTTATTTATTTTCAAGAAAAAAAGAATCTGCATAAATCATAAACAAAATCTGCCGAACACCCAAGCCTGAAAAACAATTTTATTATTTCAAAAAAATTATTTTTTCAAGAAAAACGGCCTCCCATGGAAAAAGCAGCTAACTCAGTTTGTGATTCAGACAACTGCACAAATGCTTGGCCTGAAGAAAACCAAGGTAATTCAGTATGCAAGAGTACTTTATGTACATTCCCATATTATTATGTGGAATATTAAGAAGACATATACCAAAGGCTGAGACTTAATCAAATTAAGAGTTTTTACTGCCTTATCGAGGACATTCTTACAAGAAATTAGAATCGATTTCCTACAAGTATGTGCACTGAGTTAGTGTGGTGTCACTGTCATCATTCACACCCAGGCCCGGCGCTACCATTGTTTCGGGCATCAGTTCACATGTCAACAGGGTGAAAAGGCAAAGAATGTCCCAAAGTGTCATTATCAAAAGAGTTTCTGCCTTGTGGATCTCCTGCAAAGATCCCAGGAACACGCATGGGACTGAAGATCACATTTTGAGAGACAGTGATCACTGAGCACTGTCAGATTGACAACAGGGTCATGTGAAAAACAGTTTGGGATCAGCTATGAGATCCATATCACAACTGAACATTAATGGCCATCTCCCAGAAAAGAAAATGCATTAAAGAAAAAGTTATTTCCTTGGGATTACACACTAAATCAAAATTGGAGGTAAATTAAGCTATACAATTCTACATCAGTGATAAGCAGTTTTTTCTCTAAAGGGCCAGAGTAAATATTCTAGGCTTTGCAAGCCATATGGTCCCTGTCACGGCTACTCAACTTTGCTGCTATAAAACAAAGGCAGCCATAGACAACCTATAAATGAATAACCATGGCTGTGTTCCAATAAAACTTTATTTATAGACACTGAAACTTGAATTCCATATA